GCTGACAGGCACTCAGTTTATACTTGCATAAGATCATTTAGCTGTTTACAGATTATAAGACACAGTCAGTCCACTCGGAGTTTGATTAGAACTTGAGGAAGTGAAACATCAATGACCAGTAACTGGGATATTTCGAGATGAATAAGGCCCATGCACGCCAAAGGACAAAGGCATAGGGCTAAGCAGAGAGTTAATCCAGCCTCTGGATGCCTCTACCCCAGGCCTAGTCAGCAGCCAGTTGGTCTTTTGGATTCTCTGTCCGTCACACAGATGGGAAGCCCGGTCTGCCTCCACCTAGCAGAGATATAAAAGAAGGCAGAGAGCAGCAGCGTCCCCCAGGGTCAGGGTCCACATCAGTGTCTCGTGCTCACTGTTTCTTCTGGGCTAAGACTCTCAAGATCTGCTATCTTATCTTAGGTGACCTGGAGACTTAGGTTGTTCCACTTTGGCCACCTTTATGCTGCTCATCCTGTCTACTTCCTCTAGACCAGGGCTTCTTACACTTTTCCCACTCGCAACCTCTTCGGCACTTCTTAAACTGCGCATCCAGCTTGGCCTTGCCCAGCACTGCACTCCCCTGCTGCTGCCCACATCCCAGAGGTACACATTGTTTCCTGCAGAAAGAGGGATGGAGACCTAGACGGGGAGTCCATTTCAGGACCAACAGTAAGGAGCCAGCCAGAGCATCCTGCCTGTCTGCTCTTCTTCTAGCTTCCTAAGAATGAACTAGCCTGGAAGGAGACAAACAGCAGACACAGAAAGACCATGATGCTCTGTCCTTTCCTTCAACACACACAGGAAAGGTCTTCAGAGTTCCCGAAACTCTCAGAAGTTCAACCGGTCTTCAACAGGGGTTTCCCAGTCTCTGCTTGGATACTTCAGGGATGCAAAACTCACTGACTCCTAATGCGTCATGGTCCACTGTGGAGTTAATCTTCCTCCCTCTGATTTCTACCCATTAGCAGTAAGGTGGTCCTCTTGGGCCAAGTGAATAAGACTCATCCTCTTCCCCACTGTCTTTAAAACATTGAAGCTCAGTTAGAAAGGATTTTAAAGGGCATCTAGTCCAAACTTTTTCTACTCAGGAATTCCCTGTACCCTGTCCCCAGCAAGGTCAAGCAGCCTGTTTGAGAACTTGCAACATCGGAAAGTTCACCACCTAATATGCAACCCATTCCACTGTTGGAGACTTCTAACTGTAGGAAGTTGGTTTTTTTGGGAGGGGCGTCCAATCTTGCTCCCTCTAACTGCCATCCATTGGAGAGGTTCTAAGATCTCTTTCCAGCAATATCTTACCTGCTTTAAAGAGTGCCATTGCAACAGTGGGAATAGATGAGTGTCATGTCATATCCAGTGGTCTTTTTCTCAGTCTTCATCCTTCTTGACTTCAGTTCAGCATTTGACACAAGGAACCATCCCCTCCTGAAGACTGTCCTCTTGGCTTCAGTGACATTGTACTCTCCTGGTTCTCTCAGCATGAATATTTTTCAAGGCTCTCTTGGGGCCTTTTCTCCTCATCTCTCTCTCTCTCTCTCTCTCTCTCTCTCTCTCTCTCTCTCTCTCTCTCTCTCTCTCTCTCTCTCTCTCTGTGTGTCTCTCTCCCTCCCTCTCCTTCTCCCCCCCCTCGCTTCCCTCCCTTCCTCATATTAAGTTATATCTCTATACAGTTATCACATCTGCGTATGCAGCCCTAATCTGTTTCCTGAACTCTGGTCCTATGCTGCCAGCTACCTTCTGGAAGGCCCACCAAGAACTTAAACTCAGCCTGTAATTTCGTCAGTGGATGGAGCTCCCATGGTGAAATTTCCTCTGCCAGGGTAGATCTATACCTAATTTTGCAGCTTATAGTTTTAGAGAGTTGCCTGGGCTATTAGAAGGTGAAGAAAGGGGCAGCTAGGTGGCACAGTGGATAGAGCACCGGCTCTGAAGTCAGGAGGACCTGAGTTCAAATCTGGCCTCAGACACAACGCTTTACACTTACTAGCTGAAAATAAAAAAATAAAATAAAAAAAAAAGATGGTGAGGGGACTTGCCCAGAGACACACAACCTGCCTATGTCAGAGGCAAGACTTGAACCCATGTCCACCTGATTCCAAAACCAAGGACAGTTCGTTATCCACTCTACCACACCCCTTCTCTACACAGTGGGTACTTAATAGTCCTTTGTATGTAGTAAGTGTTTTAACAGTTGTGCTGGTTTGAATTGAATTAACCTGAACCCATAAAGTAGTTTCCTCCTGCCAAATTCAGCGCAACAATTCAGCAGGTGTTATTAAATGCCTTCTGTATACAGGGCCCTCCATTCAGCACTCAGAATACAATTACCAGTCAGTGCTAGGCCCTAGGAATAGAAAGACAAGGAAAGAAACAATACCTCCTAGAAAGAATCTTACACTGTTAACAGTAAAGACATATATGTAAGTCTAAAAGATAAATAAATATGAAAAATTTTGAGAGAGGGGGCTGTGGCCATCAGAGAGATCAGGAAAGGCGTCATACAGAAGGTGATGCTAGAGCTGCATGAAGAAGAAGGATATTCCAGGTGGGGAGTGGGGGTGAGGGGTGGCCAAAGAGAGAAAGAAGACAAGCCCGTTTCTTCACAGTCTACAGTCTAATGCCATATAAGTTATGCCTTATCTGGGTTAAGCCTTATAATGGAGAACCTGAAAGGACAGCAGAGAATGTTACAGAGAGCCCTAGACTGGCCATCAGAAGGTCTGGGTGCAAATCCTAGCTTTGCTACCTGATCTCAAGCAAGTCATTTCCCTTCCATGGGTATGTTTCCCCACCTGTAGAAGGAGGAAGTTGGACTGGATGAAATTTAAGGTCCTTTCTAGCTTTTAATTTTCTGTGACCTCAGAGATTCTTGGCTTTCCCAGTCCCCTAAGGGACCTCTTGCTTGTTGCATGACGTCCGGGGGGAAGTGGCTTAAGTTGTGCCTGCAAAGTCTGTGTTCTTCCCAGAGGAAAACACCTCACCTGGCAACAAACCTAAGGCCTCTTCTCTGCCTGGGTGACTAGAGGAAGCTGTAGATATATAGATGGCAGAGTCAGAGCTCAGTGATGTATGCCACGCCTGAGGGAGCCATCCAGTGACACGCTGGATTCCATCCCGCAAGCATCGTTCCACTGGGATCGGCAGCCAAGTTATTGCTCCATATGAAACATGGGGACTGATGGGAGCTTTCAGTTACAGACTGATAGCAGCAGCCAAAATTGGATTGTTTGCTATTTATTGTTTTTAACTTCTGTCAGGGTCACTACCATCTCAGGAAAACACTGCCAGAGTGGCTAATATTTTTTATCCACTCTGCTCGCAAAAGCAGTCTGCAGCCACCACTTTTTTGACAGGACCTAGGTTTGATAGCCAGAGGATCCCCGTGGCCAGGAGGGACCCTCAGCAGCACATCCAACAAAGGAGCTGGGGGGGAGGGGGAGCTCTCCTCAGAAAGTAGTAGAGGTGTTGTTTGGAAAGGCAGCTTTGGACTCAGTCTCAGAAGAACACAAGAGGCCCAGCTCCCAGTCACTGCAGTTGGCTAATCAGAGGCTGAATGATCTGCTGGGGTGGCTTAGAGAAGGTTCAGACAGGGTGGAAAGTTAGACTAGCTACTCTCTGAGATCCCTCTCAGCTCTGAGTGTCTGTGAGTCCCTGGTTCCACGAGTTCACATTCCAGTGCTAATAATGGACACAGAGATAAAATGGAGACACCGAGGAAAGGCTCCTCCCTTTCCTCTTCTGCCCACCTTCTGCACTTTGGCTCTGAGGTCACTGCATTCCACCGCTCAGGGTCTCCTTTAAGTTGGGCCACATCATTTAGCACATGGTCATTTTTTTTTTAAAGTTTTATTGAACCTTTTTTACAGCACAGTAATTTCCCAGCATACTACACCTCACACCCACCTTGAACCATCTTTTGGAGCAAAAAACAATTAAGGCAAACTGAGCAGCATGCTCAGTCTGCCAAAGAGTGCAGGCTTTGGAGTGCCAGCTCTGCCACTCATTCTTTGTGCTAGTAGTTTGCACAGTAAGGCTGTTAGACCTGTAAGGTCCCTCCCTCACTACTCAAAATCCATGATGCAGGAGAGCCTGACAGCATATCTAACAGTCTGTACCCAAAGTCCCACCCCACTCCAGAGGAGCGAGTCCATTTCCCCAGAGCTCTACTACCTTTTGGTGCCATGTAACTGTGTGTATTGTTTTGAATTTCCTTTCTTTGTTCAGTGTCAATTCATACAAGTCTCTCCATGTTTCTCTGAAGTCTTTTTTTTCATAGTTTCTTATGTTGCAGTAATGTTCCACTATATTCATATACCAGAACTTGTTAAACTCTTCTCCAGTTGATGGATACTAGCTTCATTTCCAGATTCTCGCCACCACAGTGGCACTGCTGTGAATATTTTAGTAGTATGGGACCTTCTTGCCTTTGACTTGCTTAGGGTCTGTGCCCAGCAGTGAGATTAATGTGTTGTTTTCTAATGATTTCCTATGTGTGATTCTCACCTCCCCATCATACAACTAGACTGCTAGCACCCCAGGAAGATGGCCGTGCCCTCCTCTGCTCCTGTTTCCCCCATAGTACTGCTGAGGCCAGGGCTGGAGTCCTGGTCAGTGTGGAATAAAGTGAATTGGATTGTGGCAGTAGAGAGTCTGTTCAGCTCTGGGCTGAGTCTGCTGTTGAGAAGGGCTGTCCTCACTCTCAAGTATTCCCTGCCTGTGACTGCCTTGTGGTTTTCCCAGGGGTGAAGTCTGGATTCCAGGCCTTTCGTGTGCTTTAGCTCCCTGCCCCAGACAGCTGAGCTTCCTAGTCCAGTTTCCTCTCTGCTTCAAATGAAATCATGGAGCTCCTGCTCTGGAGTCGACACAGAGCTGGGCATTCGTTTTGGCCAAGGAAGAAAAATGCAGGATCTCTGTCCCCTGAGAGCACTGTGGGCTGGGGTAGGATGACCTAGGATGTGGCAGACACTGCCACATTCCAAGCTGTCTGTCCTTTTCTCTGCCAGTACCAGGAAAAGCAACGAAAGCGTGAGGCTGAGGAACGTCGCCGCTTCCCTCTCGAGCAGCGCCTAAAGGAGCACATCATTGGCCAGGAGAGCGCCATTGCCACAGTGGGAGCAGGTAAGCATCATACCATAGCCCTGGCAGCCCTGCATCCTGACACTCCTGGTGTTGTAGGGATAAGGATAGAACCATGCTACTTTCCTCCTGAGGGTGGAGAGGTGGCCAGGGATCAGGCTGGCCAGCAAAAAGGAGCAATTGTTTTCAGAATATGTAAAGAGCAGATAATGCCTAATAGTACTAGGCCTTCTGCCCATGGGTACCTTTAGAGAGTAGATTCAGGCCAGGTCCTTGAGAGATGGGACAGACATACTAGGATAGGCATAACTACATGTACAAATCCATTCATTGTGAGTATCCTGCCAAGTCTAGACTGAACAAAAATGCTGTGAACCTATTTCATAGAACATTAGAGCTGGAATGAACCTTATAAATTATCCAATCCAAAGATTTATCTAAGGTTGCACAGTGGTAGTTTCATCATCTGCAAAATAGGTCTAGAACCCACTGATTGCTGGTCTGGTGCTCTCTCCAGGACCTCATTTTGCCATCTGGAATCTCTCAGATAGGGGGCAGGCACCAGAAGTCCCGTGGCTACCCCCAGTACCAATGGCACCTGCTTACTCAGTCCTCCACACACAGGTCCCCGTTTGTACATTCACCCTCTGCCACCCTAGCCAACCAGTCCCCTCCATGTGTCTGTCCCTTCTGCAATGATTATAAATCATAGAAGGTTAGACCTAAGTCAAGGAAGGTTCAGATCCTGCCTCACACCCATGGCAGCTGTGGGACCAAAGACATTTAATCTCTCTGAGGTTCAAAAGAGAATGAATGTAAAGTGCATTTATGCCTCAGCTGTCTTTGTCATCATTGTTATGTGACTGCCCAAGGTCATATAGCTAAGAAATATTGGAACTGGGGTTCCAAAGTCCAGTGTTCTGTCTGTTATGCCACATTGCCTCTCCTGAGGTAATTTGAGTAATATTATTCCCATTTTACATATGGGAAAACTGAGGCTAAGGTGAAGTAACTGACCTAAAGTCTCATAGCTATAAAGTGTCAGAGCTAAGACTAGAACCCAGGTTTTCTGACTCCAAATTGAGCACACTGTGGTGTTTATAAGACATCTTGACTTTCCTTCCACTTCGGTATAACAGGAGCACGTTCACAGAGTCCTTCAAGAGACCACGTGCCTAGTGTTAGGGGTCTAACCCAGGGCTATGAAAGGAGACAGGAGAGAGGGAGAATTATAGCATTTCTGTTAGATCAAAAGAGAGAAGGGCCCTGAGATGGTGCTGTTGGAGCCTCCTGGTTCTTCTCACCTTACCCACAAGGCCACTCCTGCTCCCTAAGCATAGCCCTGATCTCTGCCTTCACACACTGGGCTGCCCCAAGACATCGAGCTGCAAATTTCCAATCTAGCCGCCAAGCCTGGGTGATAAAAGGGGCCATCAGGCCGAAATTGTGTCCTTCCCTCTGGGGCCTCCAGAGGAAAGTTTGTCACCTTCCAGAAAGCAATTAAAGATTTAATTGAAAAAGGAAGGCAGGCCGCCCCAGCCTGACCCTCTGTTATCCCCGGTTCATCAGGGAACAAGAGCCCTAATCACTGGGGCCAAGGGACCAGCCTGTTTCCAGAGACTAAAGGAGTTGTTGGAGCCTCCTGACCCAGAGTGTGCTGTTAGCCCAAGGTCAGGAGGTTGGCCACTGCTTTCGTTGAAGGCAGCCTAGAGTTTTAAGCTGTCCCTAAACCAGGCAGGGCCCCTCCCCTTCCAAGCAGAAACCATCCCAACTGTCTCCTCTTGAGAGAGCCCCCAGCAGGGCTGGTTACCACATAGGTCATAGAATTCAGACGTTGCAGGGACCTTTTATAGAAACAGACCAGGAGAAGGGGAAGCTGATTCCAAGTGACACTGGGGAGTAAGTAGCAGGTGACATGTCATGATGCCAGCATGCCCACCAGCTGTCTGTACCACAACAGGATGGGCCTGCCCAGCCTCTTATTATGCTGGACATTTGTCCAGTAGTAAAGAGTTTGTTCTTTGCTCCCTTTCTGCTAGGCTACTTCTGGTTGGAGAAGGGGAAGAGGGAGGGGCCCCTGGAAAGGAGAGACAAATGATCCTACCACAGATTTAATAAAACGTCTCCTATCGGCCTTTTATGTCCACACGGATCAGGACATACCTGCCACCATAATGTTTCCCCTTGGGCTCCCTCAAGGTCCTTCAGCCAGCAATCTGCCCACTCCCCTTTGACCTTCCTCCCCTTCCCCGTGTCTCAAGCTAACAAGATAAGTGAGGCATTGGGAAACCAGTGAAGAGGCAGGGGAACGGACCTGCATTTCTCATTTGACACCGACTCCTTTTTCTTTAGTCATCTCCTTCTTTACATAAGGTAGGAGTGTGTACCCTGAGAGAATCCAGAATCCCGACTAACAGCTCCCCCCACACCCACCCAGGGCCCTCAATCTCAGAAGCAGCCAAGTCTCAAAGAAAGAGCTCTCAGCTCAAGTCCAGCAGACACGAGTTCAGAGTCTCGCTCTGCTGCTGACTGTGTGTGCCCTCGATCAATTCACGTAACCTTCTTTAGGCCTCAATTTCCCCATCTTTTAAAAGGAGTTAATAGTTCCTATCTCACAAGGGTGTTGTGAGGATCAATTGAGATAATAGATGAGAGCCCCTTATAAAGAGCCAATTGGATAAAAGGTATTATTAGCTTTTAATCTTGAAGAAGAAAGCCAACCTAAAGAGACACATTAAAGCTAAGAGTAGTGACTGACGAAGTCTCAGAGGTATGCAAAAGCAGGCTTTGGAGAGTCCCATCCCATAAGTGACCTCAAGAGTGCCCCTGGCTTTTGCTGGCTGACCTACCCCTCCGCGCCGTACAGCCGTCAGCAGGACCGTGGCTGGTACTGCTGCCTTCTTCAAAGTGTCTCACCGAAAGATAAATTCCGGGGTTAAATATACTCTGCTTTTTGCATATAATAATGACACTTCTGAATCCACATTAGTAATTTTTATTTCCCTTCCCACCTCCTGCAACATTTCTGACAAGTGGCCAACCAGTCCCTGTTTGCAGACCTCCAGCAGTGGGAACTCACTACCTTTTAAAGCAGCACATCCACTCTTGGAAGAGCTGTCTTTGTTAGGAAGCTTTTCCGTACAGCCAGCTTCCATCCACCTCTTTGCAACTTCCACCCGGGGCTCCTCATTCTGACCTCTTGGTCCTGACAAAAACAGGTTCATCCGTCTTCCACATGACAGCCTTTCAGATACGTGAAGACAACAAACCTTTTGTTCTATCCTCCACGGCCCCTTCTCTCATCTCCCTACCCATGCCTTTCTCTGGCCATTTTCTGGCTGATAAGTGAGTCCTTCCTGAATATGATAACTCTAGCTGAGCTCTAGGTATGGGGGACAAGGTGCTGGCTGACTCTCCCAGCTCTAGGCCGTTTGCACATTTGACCAGTCTGTCATCTTCATCCACATCATTAAATATCCCAGGCCAGAGATAGAAAGGTTCCTGATGGTCACTACTAAGGACAGAGACTCATCCTGTTGACCATGCTTTGGATCTAGTTATTCACCTGAGTCTACCACAGTGAGCTCTGTCTTATAGAAAAGGAAACTGTCTTCCCAAAGACCCTGTCAAGTGTTTGCTGCCATCCAGGCACATCGCATTTACTGCATTCCTCTCATCTATGCTTGTCAAAAAAGGAAAGCCGTTAGTCTGGCATGACCTATTCCCAAGGCCCTAGGGCCTATGCGATTCCCATGTCTTTTTATAAATGCTCTGAGACTATACCTTTAATATGTTCTAGCATTTTCCCAAGAATCAGGCAGGTTTACTGGCCTAAAGTTTGATGGTTCCACCCTTCCCCCACTCCACCCTGCCATTTTTTTTTAACCTTACTCTCTCCCATTTTCTGTGACCTTTCAAAGATCACACAGAGTAACTCAGCAGTCACATCTTCCAGTTAGTTCCTTCAGCGCCCTGGCATATATTTAATTTAAACTTGATAACTTACCTGATCCTCCTTGACTTCTCTGCAGCATTTGGCTCTGTTGACCCACCCCTCTTTCTTCATAATCCTTTCTTCTCCCATCTCTCATGTCACATTTTACCTTCATGATTGTTCCGTCTCTTTATTACTACCACTTCCTTGTCTTGTTTGCTTGAATGTGTCCACCAGAATTTATGAGGTGGCCCCATGTAATGGAAAAAAGACCACTGGACTTGGAGTCGGGGGGTGCCTGAGTTGAGATCCTACTTCTGAGACTTGCTAGTTGTGTGATCACGTATGACTCAACCAAATGTGGAGTCTTGCTGCCCCATAATTGTGGGGTGGGGGAGGAAGGAGAGCCAAAGAGGAGGTTCTGAGGCTGAGTTTCTGGAAGAACACTGATGCCAGCAATGGAGCTAGAGACATCAGGGAGAGGACCAGGAGCAGGCTTAGGGTGTGGAGGAAAGATGATGAATTCAGTTTTGTTCATCCCATGTCTGATCAGTTGGTCGATCTTGCTTTTTCTCCTTCTGTGGCCTCTCCTACGTTGTGCTCCTTCACAGCATTCCCAATGCAACTACCCTAGTTCAGGACCTCATTACCTGTTGACCAAATTATTGTAATAGCCTCCTGACTGGTCTCCCTGCCTCCAGGGTGCCCACCCCAGACCATCTTTCTCCCTGCTAAATCATCTTCCCATTGCACTACTCTGATCAAAGTGATGCTCTTCTCAAAAACCTTCAGAGACTCCCTAGTACCTGTTAAATAAAGTGTGAATTCTCAGACTGTTATTTAGCACCTCCCACAGTCTGGATCCTCCATACCTTGTCTCACATTGTTTCCCATCGAATACTCTTAGGTTCCATCCTAATTGGACTAATTCTCTTCTTGCCCTCTGTTATCTCCTGACATCACCTCTGCTGGAGGGAGCTTCCCCTATACTCACAAATTGAAATCCCTCTCACTTCAAGGCCCCATTCAGATGCCACCACCTTAAGAAGCTTTCACTGAACCCACCCCACCTCCTTCCTCCTAGTTCTCATAACAGTACTTTCCTGTA